TAGATAGATAGATAGATAGATAGATAGATAGATAGATAGATAGATAGTCAGACAGACAGACAGACAGACAGACAGACAGACAGACATCCCAGCTAGTGGGGCAGTGATGTACATATTACATATACATATACATGTGTGTGGGTTTGTTTGTGTGTGTAAAATAATTAGCATTTCTAATGTTACTTCCAGCTCCAAATGTTTATATATACATATACATTTCCACACACACACATGCACACACAAACACACTTACATACATATATAAAAAATTGGAAACTGCTCATCTCATTTACAAAGCAACTTGTTTAATAATGGTCCAAGGCCAATTATTAAAGGAACAGTAAAACAGGTACAATAAATAAATGAGTACAATTACATGAAAATTTTGAAATGTTCACTTTTCACAGTTATTTGTGAAAATGGGCACTTTACAGTTTCTGAATTCTTACAGTTTCTATTGATAACAGAACCAATTTGGTGTATCGGCGAAGGCTCCAGGCTAGAAACTAAGAAGCTGCCTGAGGCCTAAAGCCAGCTGAGTGGCCTTTAGCCAGTCCTTCTCTTTCAGCCCCAAGAAGGAAAAACCTTGCCAAGAAAACCACAGTTCAGGCAGTCACCTGGAGACAGCAAACCTGATAGCACACGCACAAAAAGCACTATTGATAGGATTTATTATTATTTTTTGCAACATTTGTAGGTTTCTGACAATTAGTCACATCAAAGGAGAGAGAAGAGGACATGTCACAAGCCATGGATGCCCACTATTCTGTAGCTCCCAATTTCCTATGACCAACCTTCAAAGTGCTAATGACCAGATGACTGCAAAGAATATACAGTCCTTCTACGCCTCACCATTCGGTCAAAACTGAAGAAGCTTCTTGAATGAGAAGCGAAACATTTTCAAAGAACATTCAAAAGGCAACTGGACTTTCTTGGATTGTTCCCCCCCCCCCCCCCCATACACACACACCTTTGGAACATTATCAGATAAAATGTTTCAAAGGAAAAAAAATCAAGAAAGATGAGTTGCTTTTTGAAAAGAGGTTTTGGGAGAACCATGACCTGGGTGATTGAGAATCTCTCTAGACATCCTGATTTCTTACTATACCTGGGGGCTGATCTTGGTCACAAACCCTGGGGCAGAAGCTTCCTGCCTCCTGAAATCACAGGAAAACACAACTGCCACAAATGGAGGCAGTACCCTTTTTTTTTTTTCAAAAACTGGGGTGGGGGGAGAGAAATTCCACCAGTTTACTGTACGCAGCATTGCCTGTTACTTCTGAAGGATGCTTCTGGCCTTTGACTCATGTGCTACAAAGACATCACTTCCAAATCTATCAAGAATGTTGCAAAGGAGCACCATACAGTTGTTCAGAGTTTAACCAACCATGCCCTTTTCTAGAAAACTCCATTCCACTCACTCCAACTTATTCTAGTCAGCGTGGTTGGTCTTCATGTTTTGGTGTGTCTCTCTGTGTGTGTGAATAAATAGAATCTTGCAAATCTTGATCAATAATGATTATGTGCCATCACGTTGTTGTCTCTTAGCAACCACATAAATTTTCTCCCTAACCTGTTTTTTCATGTCTTCCAATAAAACACCCATCTTCACTGTAACCAAGTCCCTCTTCCTTTTCTCTCTCCTTTTGCCAAACCTTAGTAAATTTGCAAATACCACCTTCATATTTTCAACATTTTCTTCTTTTAATATTTCTTTGGATCAGCTTAAGGAAAATCCTGCCCTTTT